GCAAAACACATTTTTACTGATCATAATCTGAATCACATCTCAAGCATGTGTGAGTCTTTAATGACCATACATTGGATATTATATCAACTTACAAGTCTGTAAACACCTCCAAATTAGCATTACTAGCTTGCATTATTGGCTTGAATGGGCCTGAATAAGATGCTGGGCTGCTGATGATGTGAATGTGCCTTCCAAGCAGGGTGAAGCACAGCTTCTAGCCTGCTAACGACCAGCATGCTAGCTCTCAGCTCATTAGCTCTGGCTCCTCTAACTCAGACACACATCTTTCTGAGATTCCACACCACAGCAGGGGGAATGACTGGGATGAATAAGGAATAATCAAGGAATCGTTCTGGCTGTGAGTTGACCTGAATATGGTATATCCTTGCAGTCATTGAGAGTCTGCCGACACACTGCTGCCATTATAATGAAAGGAGCAGTGTATGGAGAGGACTGAGAGCGAGACCCAGTGCTCAGGGAGGAGGAGGACACTCTTTTGTGGTTGGGTTCATACCGAAGTTTGTTTCAGTACAACTCCTGCATGCTGTGATCTCTACCCACAGTCTATATTTGGAGCAGCATCATTTGCAAGACAAACTGTGAATTTTAGTTTTTATAAACCTATGAATAAAACAGTCAGTGAGTAGGAAGTTGTGGCTGATTGCAGAGGACTGGTTCTCAAAAATAACACACACCCCTCCAAATGTTCACTCTCAAGGCTGACTTATTTTCTTTGCAGCTAACATGAAAGACATCTGGTGCAGAGAAAGCAACCAGATGAGAGAAACAAAGAACAATGACAATGTAGGGGGAAAGAAAAACAGAATTCCAGTGTGACCCTTCAAACTGCAGCACACAAACCAGTCAATGCAAAAGAATACTTTTCACCCTTGAAGGTGTAATTTTATAATGAATAATATGATGATTAATTATAGTATATTTTTGGAAATTCTTCACACTCTCAAAGTGTTCTGATGTGGCACCTACATGCTTCCTCTTTTCTCTTTCTCCACACCTTTCCTTGTTACAAACTTCATTTCAAGCTGATGGACCATGGCTCTTTACAAAGTTCACAAAGCCCTGGACACGTTTCTGCACTATCAGATCAGGTATCTTCCTCAAAGAGGATAATATTTCATGTACAGGACATTCGTTTTCTAGTCAACTTCAGCTGTGAGCCACCGCCGGTCTCTGTCCATCTATCATCTCCTGACCTTCAGCACAGTGCCCTGACGGCTGCTCGGGGCACAGAGAGAGTGACTAATGTCGTCTCAGCCGCCACCTCCCCGCACCAAAGGCCCCTGATACCCATCCAGTATTATCCGACCCTGGCGTCTACAGATTTCTATCACTGCTCCCAGCTTTAATTATTCACGCTGCTGAATCACACTCTCACCAGAGAGATAGCCAGACTGGCCAGACTGCCTGCCCTCTCCCTCTCTGATCTTATCTATCTGGCTGTATGACACTATCTAATCCTTCTCTTATATTTTGCAGATTAGAAAACACAACTGCTGGGCTCGCCAGTGACCAAGTATACAACGAGTAAAGGATATATCAATAACTAAGTCGAGGCAGGAGTTTCTGTGGTTTCACCTGTGAACGGTGTAAGTTTGGTTTCAGAAGTGCAAAATGAAGAAAAGTCCTCTTCATGCTGATGTTCGGCAGGTGTTTACCGTGTTCGCCATCTTAGTTTAGCATGCTAACATTGTAACATTTGCTGGTTAGCACTTAACACAAAGTACAGCTGAGGCTGGTGGGGATGTTGTTAGTTTTACTGTTATTTGATCTTATTTGGTTAATCAAAATATTGAATTGAATTGAATTGAATTAAATTAAAGAGGTTGATCTGATGATGGTTCTAGATGAAAATCAATCACCAAAGTTATTACAATGAGGGGAGATATGAATGTCTATATAAAATGTTATGGCAACCACAAAGGTCAACCTCATGGTGGTGCTAAAGGAAACATCCTTCAAATTCATCCTGTGGGGACCATGAATGTCTGTGCAAACTTTAGTGCCAGTAGTCAGTCTGGACCAACCCGGAGACTGACATTACCATCCATAGAGCCACGCTGAAAAAACAAAAGACACATAAGTAACTAGTTAACTTGTTCCCCCAGAGATTGAAACACAAGTTCAATGTGGTTCTGTTGAGACAAAAATGTTAAGGATCTATTGGTAGAGTTTTGTTGTGTTTTACTTGGCGGCTGAGCGGTATTTAGTTGGTTTTTGCAACTTCACTGCTAGATGCCAGTAAATCCAACACATTGGTCCTTTAACTAACCATAGTTGGGGACTTCCCACCAGTCACAAAGTGTGGTTAACAATGTGAATACTCCTATACAAGCATCTAAAAGATCATTTGTGAAACTTATAACAAGTAATAATAATCAGCCCACAGTTTAATCACTTTGTGGTTATTCAGTGTACAGGAGGGCTTCCTGATAATGACTACCTCTGCAGTTGTTCCTACATGGTAATCTTGTATTTGATCTGGTTTATCATTGCGATCGCATGCATCCTTCCTGTGGTGCTAGGAATTCAACGTCATGACTTTAACTTCTGCAAGACGCCTCTGAAGGCACAAAGGACTTATTATTGTTAACCTTAGCAAATCCTGAAATTTCGGTCACACACACACTCACATGCGCACACCTCACCCATATTCAACCTCTGCTTTCCTCACCCCCCAGGCTGGGACTCTGGATCTTATTTCTTAGTGACAGGTCCAGGACAAAGGAGGGGAGGACAGCTCATTTTTTGGCTGCTGGGAGGAGGAAGAGGAGGGAGGGGTTGAGGACACAGGATGAGCTGCCAGATTGACAGGCTGATGGGGCTGACACTGGGGGCCCAGGTGTAGAGATGTTCTGGGAGTTGGCGTTTGCGGCTCAAAAGATAAGCATCAGTGAGAATATGAGAGGCTAGATGGTAATCTTTCACAGGAAGTCAGGCTATACCATTGCAGAAGAAACCACAGGAGAGAGGCTGACCTTGCGTGCTGGTGTTCAGCTGCATCGCTTTTTGGAGGATGCCAGGCCTCCAACCCACTGCAGACAGAAATAAGGTCTGACAGAGTACTGCTCTGTTTAAAAACAAATTCAAGTCAGGTCATGAGTTTATGTGCTGATCACAGAGGAGTCTGAACCTTTTGAATGATCTCTAGTTTTGCATCACAGCAGCATTGAAGCATGAATAACCAGGATTTGAACTCACTTTATAGTTTGGGAGCTCCTGTGCAACATTTATCTATGTTGTTATCCATGATATTTTCAGTGTTGTAGATTATATTTTTACTTGAAACTTAAAGCTGCAGCAAGCTTTATGGAAAATTACAGTTCATTACAACTTTTTGTTTTGTTTTGTAGCACTGCCATTAGTTCTATTGGTTATGAAATGGTTAGGAAAAAGAATTGCCTAAACTATGCATTGTTTAAACATGTCTGATAATTACCAACCAACTTCTTGGTTCAACATTGACCTACCGTACTTTCCGTAGTTGTGTGCAGTTATGGTTCAGTATGCAATGAGGGATTTGTAGCCATAGTACAGATGTACAGCTATCACCTTTAACCCTCAAATAAAGAGCAAGCTAATCTGGTTAAAGCAGCTGCAAGGAACTGTCATTTTGTGTTGATTCTGGTGGCCCCTGTGGACAAAAGCAGTAGTGTTTCCACCACCTCGTTTTATTGATTTCAGATAGAAACTCCTTGTAGTACGTTTAAACTGTCGGCTTGTTTAAAATAAGTACATGATATTCTGAATTCTTGTGTTTGTTGCCCTGCTGGATCCATTTTTAGTATCCATTCATTTCAGCATAGAACCACTGGCAGGAGCTACAAAAATAAAACCCAAGTTATAATAGACCAGAGTTTTCTTTGGACTGAGTGACCCAAAAAGTTATTCATTTTCTCTTACAGTTAGAAAGTAACCTTTTAAGCTGGATATATTTTCCAGTAGCAGCAGAAAGGTTTTAAATAAGAATGAGAAATGCGCACCCCTATATTTCTCGCTATTGTCAGTTCATGGGCCAATAAAATCCAGCTCCATGGCAGATGCTGAAAATATTCTCAGCTTGACTCAGCAGATAATTCTGCCTCATTTGAGCTGTTGTATAACTACTATTAATAGCTTGCGTTTAATGTCTCTCATTGTCTGATTTTTGGTATATGTGTCAACCAGCAGCATAATATCAGCATATAACCATCATGCTGATATTAACACATGGTGTAACTGAGTTACTTAGGATGTGACCAAAACAATAGGTTTTCAAAAGTATTTTTTTAGTATAACCTTATTGGCATTAAGTGTTTATGCTATAAAATGAAAATATTACACTAAAGTCAATTATCTCTTCGAAATGTTAAGCTTGAATAAAATATTGTCACAAATTTTGAGTTCGTCTTCTTGTTTGATCTAAAAATGATGCCAGATGATGATCTAATTAAAAGAGTAAATGTCACACTGCTTCCTTTTGCACTTGGCAGAGCAGCTGTGGAAATGTCACTATGCCCCTGTTTAAATGAAGAGAAATACCTGTAGCACTGAGCAGATTCATTTGACCCTGATTTACTGAGCAAACGGTCTCATTCTGGTTTTAGGTACAGTCCAGGAGCTTGCGCATTCAAATTTTGCGGTGTCGTGAAAATAGTGTCACATTTGCAAACAGCAAGTTGTCAGTTGTCTGTGTGACCAAAGAAAAAAAAGGAAATGTCCTCATCAAGGCTTTTGATCAAACATCAATGCATTGATGCATAAATTAGTTGCATTTTAAAAAAACACCCAAATCACAAACAATGTTTCTACAAAATGTTTTGTGCAGATTCTCACCTGACAACTTTCTGCATGAAGACCTGTGAAATCAGAGTACGTATGCTTAAGAAGAAGCCCTCCACAAACAAACCTTTTACTGTTTAAAGCAACAGTGAAGACCTCGGGTTATAGGCCAGTTATTCACCACACAGGAAGTCATTTTGGGTTACTGCAGTGGGCCGTCTAACTCCGTCAGTCAGACTCGAAGAAGCCCAGGTGTTTTTGCATATCTACAGGAGGGAAAGTAAAAAACCGCCTTTATTCTGGAACCAAATAGGCAGAAATTGCTGGACACCAACTGATGCACGTCTGCTTGTTGTGCAAGTCTTCTGAAAAGGTAAGAAACAGCTGAATTGTTCTCAACTTTTAACTGCCGTGTTTGTGAGTGTGTAGAATGGTCTGCTGTAAAAATAGATGAAAATGACAGGAATGGAAATATGAAGCAAGCTTTGAAATGCTGTATTTTCAGCTAGAGCTGAGAATCACGCTTTGTTTAAACTTCAAGAACACGTCACTACTTGTTCTAAGATTTTAGATTCAATGTGCAATATATAAACTGCAATATATAGTAATCTCATTTTAAAGGGGACTGAGGTGTAGGAATTAGTTACTGTGGGGCACTTTTAGACAAAATGCTATAAATTAGGCTGATTCTGCAACAGAAAGCGCAAAACTCATCTCTAGAATTGGACATAATACTTACTGACTCCACCCTATATTGTTAATGTGTTAGTTGTATTAGAATAAAATTTTTAAAAAAGAATTTAAAAAAAAACAAGAACCAACAAGAACATTATCAACAATACAGAATAATATTTTATAACAAACAATCCTATAATTTATAGTATTTCCTAGTTTGGTCGATATTGTTTCTCTCCTCAGACTGAGCTCTCTTTCGCTCTCTGCAGTTGATACTTTTCTTGATACCCGTAGCAAAGCCAGGTCACAAATCCTTAAGTAGTCTGGTGGTTTGAGTTGCCACAAATCCTCTGCACCCAATTTCCATGGGGCAGAAGTTTATTTTCCAGACTAACTGCTCAACCTCAGATGCTAGCTCCATGTATCTAATCTCCCTCCTTTTCATACATCTCATCCAACACCACTTCCCATGGCCCAGTAAGCTCTGCAAAATAGACAGACAGCCCCGCAGAGTGTTGGACCACAGTGCCAAATCCAATACTGAGTGTGATTCTCCCTTTTGGGACTGTCAGTTGGTAGCCTGTAATGTCTCCCGGCATTTTAACAATCCCTGTGCCTTGCTTAAATGTCCTTACTTCTATTTTGGGTAGGTTTCCTTCCTGCTTCCTGTTATGTTTTCCTTCACAGCCAAAGGGATTCAAAGATAAAAACCTGTCAATCAAACAGTGATTGATTCACCCTGACCCTCTGTTTCTCTCCTTCTTCTTGCCTCTTCTAATTTATATTATGTCTGAGAAAGCTCAGATGTTACACAAAAACCCATGGATCAGTGCAGAGAGCTAATGTTAAAGGGTAACCGGTATTTTTCAACCTGGACCTTATTTTCGCATGTTTTTGTGTGTAAGTGACTAATGGGGACAACAATTTTTGGAAATTACTCCAGTATTGAGTGAGATACTGTGTCCAACGTAATCCTTACGCAATCCAACTGTGCACTGTCAAAGTAAATCCACTAAAAGTTCTTGTTTTTGCCACTGATAGGCTCAGATTGTTGTTATAGCTGTCTGACAACATTATAGAAATGACCCCTACAGAGATAGACCTTTTTTGTGAAAGAGTGAAAGATGCTTTTTGTTTAACCAGAAACAACAGTTATAGCTTTTTGCCCTCTATTCAAAACCACCAGACTCCATTGACAAAAACAGCAATTTTACCTCATTGTACATCATTGTGACATCGTAACCTAGTTTTAAACATAAAAACATACATTAAAACCCTTGATTTTTCTCTAACATCTAACTTTATCAAAAATTCATATATATTATTAGTCAGACCCATGGTAAAATACGGTCCAGGTTGAAAAATACTAAAGTAACCCTTTAATGTTTAGGTCTAGCGGCCATGAGTTTCCATTCATCTGCTTTGTTGTCAGACTTGATTTTTTTTAATCTGGAGCCTTTAATAAAGCAGGACTACTGAGTTACCAAATGGGACTTAAAACATCAAAACAATGTCACTTCTGACTCTGTAATATACCTGACACTCTTCAAAAATAACATTACGCTTTAGTGTCTCATCATAGGGTTTACCTAAATTCAGATTGTACTGAGATGAAGTTCTACTTAATATAGAGCCCTAAATCTAATCACATTAGAACGACTGACTCACTGATGTTGTAAAGATTGACTAAATATATCTAATCTTAAATCTGCATGTTTATAAGTTTATGAAGCAGCATCCTTCTGTTTCACAACCTAGAAGCTTATGTCTGTCTGTGTGTGTGTGTGTGTGTGTTTCAGATAAAGTTTCTTTCCACTGAATGTTAAAAATGTGACTCAGGTAACCAGCCCAAGGAACCAAGTGAAAGCAGTGATCTGTTTAGATGCATATAAACATGTCATTCTTCAGCATGTTTAACTACTGAGGAAGAAAAGCCCAAGGTTAAAATTGTGTCAGAAGGCCACATTCTTTAGCAGAACTCCAAACTAATGATGTTTTTCATTTTTGTTTCACTCCCTCGTTAGCTGCAGAGAGAGGGAACAGCCATGAGTCTGCTGTGATAATGGTGAGTTATGGCGCCCATATCCACAGCATTTCCCTGATGGTTCCACATGAATGTTCCCAGGGGAAACTTTGGGCGTTTGCAGCCCCCTGTGTAATTACCTTTTAGCACAGAAATGAGTAAAGAGTGAGATTCTGCTCTGTCATTGTTAGCGCACAGCGAGAACAACACAGAGCAGAGCAGGACTATTCTCTGTACTTTTACTATAATTTATAACAATAGTTCTTTTGTTGCATTAATGTTCCTTTAAATGATGGAATATATTTCTATTTATTTAGTCATCTTATTCTATTCATATTTTATTGTCATTTAAATACATTTATTATAGGTAAAAAAAATCAATTTAATTGAATAGACTGCATAGCTGTCAGCTCTGACAGTGAAATGGCTTTGATGACACTGATGAAACTCTTCCTGTACTTCGTTGGCTCATGATACTTTTCAGAAATGCAGCAAAGAGCAATGGCAAAAGTTAGAAAGTGTTTTCGATTATATATATTCTTCTGCCCTTGCAGTAATGCTAGTCCGTACTGGTTTAAAAATAAAAAGGTTTCCTATCAGTAACTGTTATCCGCTTGTAGGATGATCCGAACACTACAGTATACCCATCTGTAGACTGTAGTTGTGCCTGCTCCATCTGCAGTCTCTAAATAGAGAGATAAGCACAGGGGGCAAGGGCTGCTAAAGGTTTTTACTATACAGTGAAATCTAAATGATGTAACAAGCATTGTTGATTGGAGGAAGTGGCCGTGGCTGGCAAATTATGCAACAGAATGTGATTCACATAAAGCAGAATATTTTAAGAAATTCTGCCATAAGAAGTTACACATTGTATTATAAATGTTAAACCTTATAACATTAATAATAAATTAACCTAAAATCTAACACAGTATGATGCAAGTATACAGTAATTTCACTTTAAATCCCCTTATGGACCGTTATATTGAATGTTTTCTTGTGAAGTCAACTTCATGATGTAGAAATGTATCGGGTAGCTTAAATCAATACATCTCTCGCAATATCAGAACATGAGTTTGTGTTTTATTTAGAAACGACATATTATAACCACCATTCTTTCTGAATAATTAAATAAGTGCTTCAGCTACATAAACTAGACAAATATGAAACGTGGTAAACATACAGGCAAACATGGGGTTATTGTATTAACCACTGTCTTATAGAATAAACACTCTTTGGCGAAATGTTCGTTGTGTTGCAAAAATGCCCGGTGGTGACAGTGCACCTGCCGGACAACAACATCAATTTCCTCTTAGGAAAAACCAATCTGGGCTCTACTCCTCATTACAAAAGAACCATTTCTGACGTGGAGCACACAGCTTTTAAACTGAATAAGAGAAGCTGGTTCGATTGGCCGTGATTGATGCTCCCACTGATAATGCATTCATCCTAATCGCACTCTTTTTTTTCCAGCTTTGCCACAGGTGCAGAAAAATTATGCATTGACAATGCACACTGTGTATCAGGTGCAATCAATTCACAGAAACAGACAATGTATTATTATATAACACATGCTGCGTCACAGACAGACTGTCTTTTTTTTCTATATGTGACTGACTGTAAATGTGTGCATCTCAGTGTCTGCGTGACTTGGAAGAGTGAAGCTTTAAAAAGGAAATCCAGTGAGACAAGCAGTGGGTAATGTTGCAACACCTCACAGTAGCTTCCTGTGCTTATCAGTGTTGTATATGCACATAGCATCTAACGCTAGCTTTCTACTCAGAATATACTGCATGTTGGTAAGCATAAAGAGCAAGAAACCTCAAAAGTAAATGCACAACTTACTGATTTCATTCTTTTTAAGGCAGATTAGTAGCTTTTTTTCCAGTAAGTCGGCGAATGCCGTCTTTCTTGTCCTCAAACCTAGTTCAGTGTTAAAAGAGATGAAGATATTGCATTGTTTAAATGTGATGTAATGATTTTTATCTCAGACATCAGAGCACAAATATGCACAAACTCCCAGGTTAATTAAATTTGACTGATGGAGACTTAGAACCTCCAATTTGAACAAAGTGCACTTTTCTCTCCACAGGATAGGAGGACAGACAGGAACAGAAATCAAAGATGTGGAAACTACAACAGCGTCATGGAGCATGAGTATGATGTGGTGGATGACCAAGAGGAAGTGATGAGCGTGCGCATACTTCCTGCAAGGCCCATAAATGATGAGAGAGAGTATGCAGGTAAAGAAGAACAAAGTGACATTTCAGTTCCAGCTTAGGTTAGTAGTGACTGTGGGTTTAGTTTCAGTTAGTCCTTACAAATGTCTTAAGTTTAAGTTTAGTTTTTAAAAGATTAACTAAAAAATTAGTAAATGTCTTTTGTTAGGTTTTGGTAGTGCTTTTTTAAATGTTCAATGTTTTCACTGTTTTGCCTTTCTTTGCAGTATATAATTATATAAAAATATAAGCACATCACATCCTTGTTGTCAGTGCAGCTGAGTGAACAACAGTAAACCACAAAACTGCCATCATCAGTGGGCTGAGACTCACACTCGTCAGTCTGTCTGTAGGAGTAAATCTGACCTTTGATATTTGTACTCTCATGATTCCTGTTCGCCTTAAATTTATTCAAATATAGCACAGAAAATTCATAACTTCACTTAAAATACCATATATCCAAAAACCTAATAACTCTAGGTTCAAAACTTGTCCAAACTTCAACTTAAAGAAGTGTTTGCACAGTTGACACAATGAGGGTGAGTATGTTTCACTTTCCTACACAGGAAAGCTCTAGTGAACATAATTCAAATGAAGCTGAATGAAGCGCAGCTAAGAAAAAAAAAGAGAAAAAAAAGAGCTCCACCACAAACTGTGGTGAGAATGAAAGCAGTGTGGATCTGAGAGAGAAAGATCATGCTGAGTGAGCCTGATCTGCCAGTGGGTCTCCAGGGCCATCTGTTGGCTGAGTCAGACTGCGGGAGATTACAATTATCCAGGAGCCGAAGGGGGAGAGAGGGAAACATGTAGTGCGAATAGACTCGCTTTACTTTCCTGCATGGATGTGGCCCACAGCCAGAAGCCTCACAGCTGCATGTCTACAACTTTATACTGAATGTGGCTTTTAAATTTGTTCACACTTGGAGTGTTCTCCCTCTGTAATCAATACAGTCTGCTGCTGCAGTGCACCGCTGGGACTGGCAACGACCGAGTTACAAGAATGATACGAACTCAGAGAGTGTTTAAACTGTCAACTAACACTGGAGCTACTGAACCTACTACAATTACTGACACTGATAAGACTGTGCGCATCACAACTTCTTTTGCTTTCAAGACAGGGATCTTCCGAGGTCATCATCAGCTCAGAGCCCTTCATCACTCTCCATTGTAAGGTTTCTGTTTTATTTTCTTTAAATGAAAGTCCCACTACAACCGCACAACTGTCAATGTCCGCTTATGCTTAATGTGTTCTGCTCTCCACTCCATCAGGGGAACTCCAGAATCCTCCCTAGAGTTATCCCAATTAATACAGGTAAAGTGACAAAGCTCTGCATGATCTGAATTTTGATTAATGGCATAAAAGCTATTCTGTGGAAGAAGCTCAAATCTAGTGCAACCACATAACTTACTTGAAAAAAAAAAAGCAATTAAATCAGTACACTCAGGGGTTTTGCTTGGTACCGACAGCCTAGGGCAGTGTTTCTCAACCTGGGGGTCAGGACCCCAAAAGGGGTTGCAAGATCATTTCCAGGGTTTACAAAAAGGTTGTGGAAGAAAAAATTCATACATACAACATATTGTGGCAAGAAGCGAAGAATGAGAGCCAGGAAGCGACTCTTTAATGACATTCAACATAGGGTACAAGAACTCAAAAACACAGTACAGTATATAGGCTATATACATGTTTTTATACATGGTAACAAGACCACTTGCCTCAGTAATATGATAATGTATTTCTATCTTTTACTGTGGTTTTAAGCCTAAAGCCAAAATGTTGACTGGTGACTGCTGTTATTTCAGTAAATCTAAAAACAAATTAGTTGTTGTTCTGTCTGTTGGCAATTTAATGGTCTATCTGTGTGAGTTTCATGGCTTTTATGTGTTACACATGGGGGGTCGAGGTGGTCACAAACACCAACCTGATTAATATGGGGGGTCGTGACTCTGAGCGGTTGAGAACTCTGGCCTAGGGTGATTAATATTAGCTAACGTTTGCAAAATTTTGATAGATATTCCTGTATAAAAGACATTACTGAGTCAGTTCACTGACTTAATGCCTTTTCTGTACTTGGCCCCAGGAAGCTGCTCAGCAGAAGTTACATAGGGTCACTTAACCTGCATTATCCAAGGTTTGGCATTAAATTAAATGGTGGAATATGAAATAGTCACTCATAGCACACTATGAAATATAACCCAGAGCTTTTAAGTCTCTTTTAGCTCACTGTATTGGTTTTACAGCACATGTACAGCATGGTGCAGTCTTTTCAACCCTTTCACTGCCAACATAACGTTAGTCATACGGCTACAAGGTCAGATAATAAGGGTGCATCGTGTCAGAATATAAGGCTGATCATGAAAGATATTCGCTAGGAAGGAACAGAAGAGAAGGTAGCGTCCTGTGCAGAACCGAGCCAGATATACAGATCATTAAAATGAGAAAAAAAGACTGTATGTGGTCAATACCAAAGAATAACAGAATTTAGCATTAATACTGTGGGGCTGTGTGCTTACAGATCTAGGCATCATCTCAAAATGTAAGATCTTTCATAATCAAAAATATAGCTTTTTGAAAGATTTAAATGGCCTTAAATTTTAAATATCAATTTTTTTAGTCTGATATCCATTTGTTCCTTGAGACCAGACAAGACCTAAAAAGCGAGCAAATGTTCAACTTAACATTTGTCAGGTGGCCAGAAAAACTGTTTTCCTAACCATTGCTTTTCTTTTGTTTTGACGTGTCTGCCTGATGTAAAAGTAGGCAGCTGTTTGCTAACACACCGGCCAAAAACATTTATAAGCCGGTATTATGGTGTATTTGTCAGCTCGTTTCAGTTTGATTAATGCTGCTGTTATTAACAGTGTTACAGCTCCTGACCTCAATAGATTTGGGAGCATGTGATACTTCAGCTGATGGTTTTCAGTTTAGTTGTGGCTTATCATGTTTCAGTTAAATACAACTGTATTTGGTAAAGTAACTTTTTTTTTCTTTCTTTGTTCCCCTCTAAGATTGAGTACCAATTTTGTAGTAAACATACACTATACATTATTTTCTGCATTGTTTTTTTTAAACACAGGGCCTGCTATAAATAGAGACCTGAAGCCAGGCAGAAAAAAGACCAGATTAGGTAAGACCATTTAAAAAGAATGAACTTCACCACATTAACTTTTCCACTTTGGCCTCAGAAGCATCCCAAATATTCACACGTTGCTCTTACAGATAAGAGGTTCACTCCGGTGCAGCCGGGACATCAGGTAAGCACCTGTGCCTTCTACAGCTTGGTGCATTGTTGACACTGTTTTTCTGCTGATTGCAACTCATAAAATAGGTGATCACTTTTCTCTCTTTCTAATATCACAGCGCTCACACAGGTAATTTTCCTCAGCTACTATTCAAGTTATTCGTAGTTAGGTTTAAATAAGTTGTGAGTGGACTAAAGTCTGTGTACTTCAAGGCCCTCTCCGTCACCTCCGCCCATATCCTTGGAGTTAGAGAAGGACTTGCCTGCATTGACTCTACGTGATCACTGCAAGAGAGAGTGAGTACTGTGTTATCCTCCCACTCTGGAAGCATGCAGACAGACCATCACTTGTTCCAGTGTCTGCCCTGTTGTTTTACATTTCTGTAGTTAATCTTGACCCTATGTGACTCTTTCCTCTGTGACGGAAAGTGGAAGGAGGTCCTGAGTTTGCAGTTTGTACAGTGTAGCAGTGGCGCCATCTGCTGGTTATAAAGAATTGTGATGTTATGTATAAATGACTATGACATTTTTTTTTTTTTCAGTGGAGAGAGAGCAACTAAAAGAGTAAGTAGTCAAACATGGAGCATGGTTTCAATCATAGAAATATGTCAGACTTTCCCTCTGGCTTCTGTGCTTCTATTCTATTTCATTCATTTTCTATGATAGTGTCCACTCATGTAACCCTGCAATGATGTAGTTATGTACTGTTATTTCTTAAAATCAATAATCATTTAGCGCTTTCAGCCAGGCTATTTTCATTTCAATTTGAAAAGGTATTTTTCAGTCTATTGTAACCTGACTAGAAATGACTTCTTAACTATGTTACACACTTTTTTATCCAATTGTCTTTTTAACTCTTCTAATAGGCAGAATTCGGTCAATCAAAAAAAGGTAAGAGCTAAATAACTGTGAATGTAACATTTTGGTTAAAAATGCCTTGACATTCGTAATGAAATTAACTAAATGAATGTGAATGTGTTTCAGCCCCCCACACCAATCAAAGGCATTCTTTGGATTTGGAGACTCATGATATAGAAAAAAGGTGCAGCTTTCATTTCTCAGGCTTTTCAGGACAATTATGTCACGTTATGTCATGTTTGATTTACATGTTCCCTTTCTTCCTTTATTTAGGTCACAGCAAAATCTGGGTAAGTATCGTTATAGGTCATCAGCATCATCATACAGCTATTGATTAAATAAGTCAACATTAATATATATAATATATAATTTCTACTTAAAGAAAGGGTGCCATCAAAACGCCATCACCATGAGTGGCCTCAAACTAAAGAAGACTTTGACCAACATGACTTTGTTCCAATGGAAAAGCCTCAACAGGTATACTTGCTTGAGATAAGGTTGCTACTTGATAAGGTTACAACTAGTTTATAGGTCATTGTTTACTGAGCTCTATGATGTTTGGCAGACCAACTGCGAAGAAGACTGGTATGTTGGGGCTTGTAGTCGGGCGGATGCTGAGCACGCCTTACACCTGGTGAACAAGGTATTGTATCTCTTCTAATGGGAAATCAGTCAAAAGATTACCCAAATGTGTCTGAAGCTAAACTTATTTTGTTTCTCACATCAACCACATTAGGATGGGGCATTTTTGGTACGAGACTGCTCCACCAACAGCAACAGTGAACCCTTGGTACTGGCTGTGTATCATGAGAAGAAGGTTTACAATGTAAAAATTCGGTTCATCGAGAGCACTAGCAAGTATGCCCTGGGAACGGGACAGCGATCGAACGACGTGAGTGGACAAATTCAAAAAGTTATTTCGTCAAGCACTCCCATCACCATTATATTTGCTGTAGCTCACATCTTATTTTTCCCTCAGATGTTTGACTCTGTAGCAGACATCATCAAGTTCCATTCCATATTCCCAATAGTACTCATCAGTGGGAGAAATATGCCCGGAAGCAGGTATCCAGAAAACTGTGTGCTGACATGTCCAGTAACGAGGAGGGATGTTGTCCTGCTGCTGCAATAACATATGCATCATTTCAGGAAAGATACTGTCCCAGTATGTCGCTATGACACCCAAAACATCCACCAAAGTTATCTGTGTCCATGTTAGGAAAAAGCTCACTGTGTGTGTGTACAAATTGTGAACTGTGTCAATAAAAAAATCAATCATAGCAACAAATGATTATTTTTATTATCAAGAATATGAAATACTAGTAAATAATGAAAAATGCCCATCGCAATTTCCTAGAGCCCAAGGGGATGACTTCATGTTTCATTTTTTTAATGTATCAAAAGTCTAAAATATAAAGGTAATCACTATATAATGCACAAAACAGAGAGAAACCACAAACTCACATGAAAGCTGGAAGCAGAGGATATTCATTACTTGATAACTATTGATCGGTGACCAAAATAGCAGGCATGAATTGACTTTAATTTCAGCTTTATTTTTAATCAGCAAAAACTGTGATATTTAGACTACTAGATCAAAATTATGATTTAATAATTAAACATTATTACATAGTAAGTCAACATCAGTGGTGGATAAAGTACTCAGATATTTTAGCTGAAAGTTGCAACACAGTGAAAAAAGTCTCTGTAAAGGTACTGCATTCAAAATATTCTGCGTCAAAATATACTTGAAGTAGTTAAAATAAAGGTGATCATAGAATAATATTCTCACTGGCTTATAATTAGTAAGGCATAACTGCTGTGTAGGTTAATAATATATCATCACTTGTTAGCAAATTGTGTAATAATCTAAATATATAAAGTGGGTGAAATGGCTAGGTAAATGAGTAAATGGCTCGATAATGTCTGAGGGGATGGAGGGCAGCAGCATAGCTCAGTAGGGAGAGCTGAGGTCTCAAAGTCAGAGAGTTCAGAGTTAAACCCCCGACTCCACCGGCCTGGGAAATGGTTAGGTAATTAGATACATTTCTGTAAAACTCAAAATGGTGTCACTTTTAACTCGGCTAACTCCTGTTGGTTGTTGTTGGTTGCACACGTAAAATATCTACCAACAGAGCTAACTCTAAATAAAGGAGATTAAGTACCCTAAATGAAACCCTGTGATTCAGTTTTAACAACTAGGACTTGGTGATGGATGGTACCGTGATGTCCTTTGATCATCTCAGAGAGAAGTACTTTTTCAGATATCTGCAAATGCCCAGCGTTATCTCCTCTGCTATGAAGTTACACTCCAGGGGGTTTCCTCTTTCAGCAGTAAAGAAGGCTAAAATCTGTTTGAAAAAAACAGGAAACCTATCACCAGGATTTATAGGGCCCCATTGAACCCAGACAACAAATACACTGCTCATGTCAGTTTCTTTGGGAGGTTTAGTTTGGATGGTCTGTGTTTGGTCAAGCTCTTCAGGTTGCTTACCGGTATTTACCAAAAGAGCTAAAGAACTGCTATAAGGCTATACATAAGCTTCAAATTACTCTGGTGAAACTTAATATGTTTAATCCTCTGCTTTGAAAATAATGTAATAAGTGTAAAACTACTGAAGCTTCATGTTTTCACTGTATTTTGAATGCCCTCTTATTAATGACCTCTGGGCCCAAGACTGTAATCTATATTATATTTAGGGAAAACCTGGCCTTTAAACATATTGTTTGCATTCTTGGAATACAGTCAGCAGTATTGAACATTAACCCCTCTACACTGAAGCTGCTAAAGGTGCTTGTTCTTAGTGAAGGAGAATGGAGGTGTTGTTCTTGGATGGATTTCAGACACTGTCCCTACAGTTTCACAATGGATTTGGAGGGCTATGGAACTTATACCTTATACCTGGTCCAGGCCCAGGCTCTTTGGATTGGTCTCTACGGACTAGCATGGACTAAGATCTTGAGTTACATTTACACAGGTTTAATGTCAAATATACTATTATCCCTTTATTAGGCATGATTTCCATTGCTTTATCAAATCATATGAACCTTCTGTCTTGGTATTATTTTGTTTGTTTGTTTTTTTGTTATTATTTATTCATTTGTCATTGTTTAGTCATATACTGTTTTTTTTTCTTGTATGCAAGTCATGCGTTGGGGGCTTGTTGGAAAAATGGTATGTTTTTTATTATGTCCTTTCATCAAGTATATGATCCTTTGGAAATCAATAAATATACACGAAGAAAAGAAAAAATCTATATGGTTAATGACACATACGAATTACTATACATTTAAATTCTGCAAAGTCCGTCTCTTTGTCTTTGTCCTCTGTTCACGTGAGCTGTGTGCTGAGAACTTCCAGGCCACATTCTGGAATGTGGAGAGTACCGACAGTAAATTTGACCACTGACTTTCCATTAGTGCCATCATTACCCAGAGGTCAAGTGAGGAAGAGGTTTAGCAGATTATATACTACTATAGTACTCTGTGGTAGATGCAAAATTCTTCATCATCAGCATTCATCACACTACAACTGCGAAAGCTAAATCTCATCCCTAAATCTGCTGATCCAGTGCTAGAGTCTGTGGGAGATAACACGCCTCCCTTTCTAAAAGTTCAAAGTTTTTTAGGATGCTGACAGGCTATTCAATAGTGGTTTTATCCCTCCACAGGTTTTACTGTGGAGATTCTGTCCAAGGCCAAACCGAGTGGGACGACAAGGCTGAACCTATGTTAACCACATGTAACCAAATGCATACATTTTTAAATTTGTATTTAATTTTATATTAAGCAGAATTATAGGCAGTTGCAGAAGTAAATTAGGGTAATCCTGTAATGTGTGATGTTATGATGATCATAAACACTTTATGTGATGCAAGTCTGTTGAACAAAAGGGAATGGGTCATTAAAGTTGTGATCATGTTTACTTTGTTTTAATAGAAAAGAGGGGTTACACAATTGTTATTATAAAAGCATGGAACACAATGATGACCACTGAGGATGGAGAGAACCAAAAACAGTTTTAACAGTAACATGACTAATTGACACACAAATGAGTGAATGAAGGGCAAAGCAAAATATTCATAAAGAACTGTCACACCTTTAAAATAATTATAGATAACAAAGACTGCACGGCAGCTTGAGACACTGCAGCGTTGAGAAAGTAAAGCACAACATATCTGCTGCTGCAGAAGAGGCTGAGGAATGTTAACCATTCCCTACTGAGTATGAACACCAGTCATCACGTTTTATATATATTTATATATATATATAAGTATATACACAATAAAATCTGTGGGTGATCAAAAACATATATATACAATAAAAACGGTGGGTAACCAAAACCTATAAATTTCATCATAGGTCTAGCACCTCATACATCATGATAACATTATAAACAAGAACACACAGGTGTTGTAATGCTGTCGTAAGAAGAGAACACAGATTTGAAAAGTATTTGGATAAAAGATTGCTTATGTCCTTTTGATGGGTTTTGAAAAATATACAAGTTTCAACAGGTTTACAATGGCCCCCAAATCACCACAGAGTATGTACATGGCGGTGACATAAGAAAAAAATTAAAGTACGTGGCTTTCTGTTACAGTAATAAACTAGTTTAGGCTGCTTTTATCTGTTCCATTCTCCACCGCTGTCTTCTGTAAAGAGGCTATCATGGACGTTGTGACATAAAAGAAACCAAAGTGTAAAGCGTAGTGCAACAATGACCCAAGATTATTTTCGCATTAACACTTGTTTCTGGGACCTATAATAAGTCAATCACAAAATATATGTGATTAATTAGATATTTAAATTCAATGAAAACAAACACCGTATTTAAATCCATACAGCAAATATCAGAACAATTAAATAAAAAGGCAATCTTTAACACTTTACTTTTGCCCTTTGAGCTTTCTCGTACAGTTTCAAACAGGAAGTAGTAATTGATCAATGTACCTTCCTCATCCATCTGTACTTAGGGCTATTAGGTATAGTCAACGTTTTAGCTTTAGTCTTACAGAAACCAAAACTAACGGTGCATTCAGGCACTCCTCGTCAGCTGGTAAAGTCAAACACATTCAAGTTCATCACCGAGAATGGCCAGCAAAGTGGTTAATACTGGTGGGAAACCGGGTCACATTCCATAATACCCAAGTTTACAGATTATTTCACTTCACACAACACATCAAGGACAACTGGCAAATAAAACCTTCTATTTCTCTGCAAGACCCAGTGATAGCAACACAGCCAACCAGATAACAAAAACAAACTGTGGTGTGTATGCCTACCTTCCACTATTTACACCTGGCAGGGATTCTGTCATTGGTCCAGTTTATCCGACCAGTTTACCAGTGACTGATGACCATCTGGTACAATTTTTTGCAAAGAGTACCTGAATGCACCACGACACTACTGAGACGCCATACATAAAATAAAAAAAGGATACTGAGCTGCACATAGGACGCTGGCTGTGATTTGTAACAAAAGTCCCATTTCTCTGGCCAATATTTGGAGTGAATTTGGACATGCCTTTTTTTGACCAGTTAGAAGCTTATCAGTGTTAACATGTTGACTTTTTGGGTGCAGTATTAGTGTCATCATCATAAACACAAGAAAAAAAGAGGGCCACTGTTGAAGAGAAACATTTTAGAGGCTTGTAGGTGCTTTGTGCCCATATATGCTGATGTGAAATTGACCGATTTGGAAACATTCTGTTAATCTGAGCATTAACAAAATAAAATGGGAATTACTCCTTGAATAGGACATTTTTACATTGCTTTTGTGACACATACTGCATGTTGGGTTCATGGGTTGAACCTAAGAAATGACTTCTCACATACAGATCATCACAATTACGCAACACCCACCGCAGATTTTTCCCATCATTAAAAACTGAGAGGTGTGCATGTTCTGCATCTTCACGGCAGTGGTTCTGTTCTGAGTGGGTTAGCGCACACACAGATTCGATCGTCTCAGGGGGTACTGCGCCAAATTGGGGGTGTATCTTGGAGGAGCCAGACGAAAAGTGAACTGATGCAAACAGAAAGTAAATACAGTATGTTTATGCCTCAACTCTGACCTTCTGAAACAGTACCTGACATCTCTATGTTAGTGACTGCGATCTGCTACAGCAGGTGACCCATCGTCTATCAAAGCAGCCAAACTGCATTGCACTTGAATACTCCATACCCCATGCCTATATAAACAACATTAGTACAACATAATGCTCAGTGATACTAGTATGTCCATTTTTTCTAATCTTATGCTCCCATAAAGAAAATAGGTGCCCGGTATTGTTTTTTTTAAGACATCTTCCCATTGTAATACTAGGTATTTCCTCAAAAATGTACACTTTTGTCCGCTGATGCGCCGATAGATTCATGGAAAGGCTCCGACAGTGCATCCCATCACCTCGTACTTCTGCCCCATCACTTTGCTCAGCCTCATTTTTAAGATTTGGCACTTTGGAACCACCTCAGAGGCTCCGGTGTCAGCTAAAGTGTCTGCTCTCGCTCCTTGTACGGAGGCCCGGGGCTTCGGGTGATTGAGCACCACCACGGGCTGGTTCGGGCCCGGCCGTTTCACCAGTTGGTCCACCTTCAGCGGCATCGGGTGAATAACTGTGCAATCAGTTAGACTGCCCACCGGCAGAGTCTTGTATTTGGAAATTCTAAGTTTCAGTCCCTTCTTGTTTTTTTTCCACACGCCTACTTGTACCCTTTTCAGAGAGACAGTCAGGAACTTTGAGGAGATGTCATGGTCACTTCTTTCCATTTGCTGTAGGGGGTCTGCAGTCCCGGGTGCGTCTACGTGTGCTGCGGTTTCAGAAACAGCGTCCTCATCTTTCAATTCGGGAGCCTGACTGCATTTATTGTTGTTTGTTGGCGCCGTGTTCATTTTTTCCTCCTTGACGTGGGTATGGTTGTTGGTCAGTGCAGGAGGGTGCTGGACACCCCTATGTTGCTCCTCTACTTTTACAGACTCACTGGTCCGCCCTGCCAATAAAAGGTCACGGATGAAGGAGCCATCCTTTGGGGCCACCTGAGCACAGCGCCCCGACGGTGCCGCCTCCTTCATCCGCTCTGTGCTGCCCGGTATCTTAACGTGATCTCGCGTCGCACTACCGGAACTGTTGCTTTTATCCATTACTATACCGCGCAGAGCCATCACCAGCGGCTGAATGGAGCCTTGCACGTCCTCCGGTTGTTGGCTTAATGAAAACACAGACGAGATGACTGGAAAGCCCTCCGGTTCCGGCGGGTCTGCCTCTGCGGCTCTCTCGTTGGATCTGCTTTCCTGGTTCCAAGCCGAGATCTTTGAATTCGTGCGATTAGAAAGCACGGGCGTTTTGAACGATGTGAGCTCATTTAGAGTCCTGGGTACTGAAAAAGACGCACTTACAACATTATCCTTACAAACTAAAATGGCTGGAGGTCTCACTTGGGCCGCTGCGGCTGAGGGAACGCTCAGGGAAGGAGGAGCTGATTTTAAACTTCGCGGGTTCTTTATTTTTGAAGCAGCGTTCTTCTTGAAGTTGATCTCCCTGGGCTCTAGCTTAACAGCCACAGACCCGTCTCGGGGAATGCTTTTTGTGTCACTTGCCCTCCTGGGTGGGATACTCTTGGAATGCTCTGGAATTAAAGTCTTTCTCTCATCCGCTGCTCTCTGAGAAACACATGCTCCCATGTTTTCTGGATGCAGGGTGCTCGTCAGCCTGTTGGCAACCCTGGTGGAGGTAACAGCAGGCGGAGCAGCGCCGTGGTTCACAGGTTCTCTCTGTGTGACTTTGATCCCACTGTTGCCTTCTCTTGCAGCATTGAGGGTGCTTTTGGGAACCTTGTTTGGGATGAGTGTGTGACATTCCAGGTTGATTATTTCTTGCGACGTTCTTTTTAACACACTTTTGTCTTTGCTGATTTGAGAGGGGAGGTTTTTGGAAATATTGACTGGAACGACAGCAGGACGCTCCACATTCACAGTCTTTGTTTCATACGGTTTCCTGTTAACCGTGCACATCCCCAAACTTGTAGACTTCACTGTGTTTGGATTATTTAACGTGGAGGAAAGTGGCTTTCCCAGCGCAGTGTTTTGAGAGACCGAGGTCCTTGTGTCTTTTATCACGGACTCGTTTTCTTGTTGAGAGACGAGCCTCAGCTTTAGCTCCTTCGTCCCGTTGACAGTTTTCACCTCAACAAGTTCAACCAAGCAGCCAGCAGGAATGGTGACTTCCTCTGGAAGAGAGACCGTTAAAGCCCTGTTGTGCTGAATGAGTCCATTCAAAGGGGACCAGAGTTCTGCGTTACCGTTAGTGGCGTTTGATACGTTTGTGTCCAGAGTTTTCCCCCTCTGTTCATCTTTACCCAGCCTGAATGCAGATGCACTCGGGGTGGGCACTGTCACCCGAACGACTGGTCGAACTGACGACGTGTCAGCAGTGGGAACACTTGGTAAGGCACTGGAGACAGGAACGTGTGGACTTTTTGTCGTGCCGGGCTTAGCAGGTCCAAAACTAATGCCTTTACTATGCAAACGGTCAATGTGCTTCACAAGGCACAGTCTCCGCATGTAGCCCTGTCCACAGTGAGGACATTTGAATGGATACTTTGCAGTGTGTTGCTTCAGGTGAGCGTTTAACTCTGCCTCACTGAATGAGACATTGTTGCAATAGAAACAGTAGAACCTCGTCCCCATATGCTCGACCATATGCTTCTTGAACGCGGCGGCGTCTGTAGAACCGAAGCCACATTTCTCACAATACATCACATTCGAGGTGCTCAACACACGATCCAAAGCCGGATGTCCACCGTTCACAGACGATGGCATGCTCTGGTAGCTGACAGGCTTCATGTTGAGCGGTGAGGTCCACTGCTCATCTGGCAGCAGGTCCCACAAGTGTAACAGGCTGCAATTAAACAGTGGAGTAGGCATCCATCTCCACCTGACGTCCAGAGGTCAGTCCTCAGAGGGCTGCAACGCCAACTCCCAAACGAGACGTCTCCCAGCCTGTGGAAAGCAAACGGGGACAAACGCTGTAAGAGTTGTGTCAGTGGATGAACCTCACAGTGCACACTGCTGACATTCAGACAAGGCCCATAAAGCCCCTCCCCCTCCTCAACACTGAGCTCATGCAGTATTTTCACAGCCTGCGGCACTTTGTCTTACACATCACGGGCTGCACGACTACCAAAACACACACAGCGGAGGAAAATATTATTCATAGTCATCTCTATTGCCCTTTTTGTTTTGTTTTTCTTTTGTGCTGCTTGCCCGGGCTGTGTACCTCTGAACACAACAGAAAGGCCCCACCTGACCACAACAAGAGGTTCGCAAAGACGACGTCCCGTTTTCCCACTGTTTATGTTGAGGAACGAGTCTAATCACGCGCACACGTACCTTATAGGAGTGTTGTTCAGCAGCGTTTTGGTCTCGTGTGTGTTTTTAAGGGAATAAATCCTTTCTGTGGACGTGATACTTGCGCTTGTCAACGCGGCCAACCGAGCCGCTTTGATTTAGCCTGTCTTAGCCATCTGTAGCTAGCTGCAACTATTCCGGGAAAGGGTTGCTCCTGCCTTCAAAATAATAGCGCAGAATAAAAACAATAACGCTCTTACATGTTAGTTGTTCTGGCTTTTTCCATAATGACCACCTATCTGATATATTTTCTTTAGTCTGGGCATCTTTTGTGCTGGTAAACCATTTTTGGTACGGGAGCAAACATTATTTTGAAGGTTCTGACCGGAACTTCAAGTCTTTATTGTGTTTGTCTTGACAGCCGAGGAGCTGGGTGCAGCGTAGGCGCTATTCTTGAACAAGCACCACGCAAACCTCCTATATGTGCTCTCATTGTTTGCGCTAGGTTGTAAACGTGCTACAAAAAGTACGTAAAGCTTTGATTGGGCATCTACGTTATTCACGCCCACAAACATGACAACTTCCCACCACCGCCACAACATTACATTTAAACTCCTCGGTGCCGTTTTAACACAAATCGCCACATTTGTAACATTTGTTAGCTGCTTTGAGACACAGACAGGATGCGGGTTCATCGCACCGGCCGGTGTTGTTGCGCCTGTGTTACAGTGAGTTCACCCGGTGACACAGGAAGTGCTTTAGAGCTTTTGTATTTGATGTGATAATGAACCGCAGGCCGTCACCAGCTGGGAGATAAACAACGGCACGCTGTGGGTGCATGTGATTAAAATGCCCTAAAACCAATCCAACATGGTGTTCAGAAGAATCTGCAGACTGGTTCCTGCTGTCTCTGTGTCTCTGGCGTTGCCAAGGTGAGTGCTACAGTGTAATATGACCAACACCGGGCTAAACCTAACTTATTAACTCTTTCAAACTAGTGTAAAGACGCTCTCTTGTGTATACTTTTTAACCTCGAGCTTCATATTTAATCTAACTCTTGTTGCGGAATGAGCTCTAACCTACACCTGAACTTGTAACCCTCATGCTGTAGCTCATGTGAGGATCACCATGACTATTGTGAAAACACTTTCTGGGATTTGCACACCATTGTTGCGATTCATAATGACACAGCAGTGGCTTTCACTTGACCCTCCCTTTCCCCGCTTGTCCGACCCATACGCCTGCGAGCTTCCTGGTTATGGCAATATTAATCCAGCTAACCCGGACGCAGGCTCCCCGCTGGTTTCTCCACAGAAAACAACTTTTCTCGTCTTTTCGCAGACACGCAGTCATCCGCCGCAGCATGGCCTCGGACCCGGCGGCCGCAGACACCACCCGGTTCGACTTTCTGGTGATCGGCGGCGGATCTGGAGGTCTGGCCGGCGCTCGGAGTGCTGGGCGGCTGCTCGGGAGGGTCGTCGGAGCTCGGAGCGAACCGGCCTTGTGTGTATTCGAGCTAGTCACTAAACTCGGAGTCAGTACCTGCTGTGAGTAAAAGAGTATAAATAACGCCGCCCAACTGGTTTCCCGACTACAGTCTCGTGCAGCCAGCTCACACACCACACACACACACACACACAGATACATATATGTCGGTTGCCAGGTTCAATGCGAAGCCTCCGGACTCCTTTTGTGGAAGTTTTTTGTGTAATTCCAACAAACATTGTTGGAAGTTGAGAGCGTCCCAGCCGATAAGCAACCCCCCCTCCTGTAGCCCTGACACACTGGAGCTAACATCCACCGAGCAACATAGTGGACAGTCTTAACATCTGAGGTTAGGCAAATATACACAGGCTGCTAGTGCACAGGGGCTTCAATGTGAGGAAGAGGCTTCGTGTAGGCCTAGTTATATTGTTTGTTACTGTAGTGCTGCTGTATTGGGGATCATTATATATCATAGGCAGTGTTGGGCAGTAACTCATTACTAGTGATAATATTACAGTAATAGTATTACTTTTCCCAGTGACTAGTGGTGTAACTTATTACTAATTCATTTCAGTAATAATAATGAATAATTACTCCTCCAAAGAAATAATTAGTTACAATATTACTTTTGTCACCTTCTACTGATCTAATCGTGGAGGAAATAAGTTTGGAAGATGGAAACATTCAACAACTGGAAATATTCCATTAATTTGATTTTAACAAAAAAATGAATCATCATAAGTCTGAATTTTGGGGAGAAGGGGGCACAATTACCAATTTTCTGGGGAGTAGCAGAAAAGTAGTATAACTAGTAGTGTAACTAATTACTGTTGGCAGGGAGTAATAAGTAAAGTAATTTACTTTTTAAAAGAGTAATGAGTAATATATTACCTTTTTTGAGTAACTAGCCCAACACTGATTATAGGTGCTCATATTAGTAGGGTTTACCCACTATATTGACTTTTCAGTTGTTCTAGCAGAAGGAAACTTAAACCACATGCTGATTGCAGAAAGAGGCAGTTTGTATGATTCATTTCCCAAAGTTGGTAGTAAATGAGGAAATAAGATCATATATCAAATAATAATGTTAAATCAAGCAAACTCGATGTATGCACCTTTTGCAGAACAGGTTATTACACTGCACAAATAAAGACCTCTGCAATCTAAAACCTTTTCTTTTCAACTTGTGCTTGGATGATTTTTGAACTATATGTTGAACTAATTTGCTCTGTAATTGTGTTTTTCAGGTCAATGTTGGCTGTGTCCCTAAGAAGGTAAACACTTCTCTCCATTCTCGCTGTGATAGGTTGAGTTTTAACTCTGAGAGTCAATGATTTGTTAGTATGTGTCCAAATTCAGTAGATATCAAATCCAGTACCTTTAACTTCCTTCACAGGTTATGTGGAATGCTGCAGTTCATGCTGAGTATCTCCACGATCACAATGATTACGGATTTGATGTTGGAAATGTCCGTTTCAGTTGGGAGTAAGTTTCACTACCCGTCGGTGTCTTTTTTCAGTTTTTTCATGCAACCACAATGAGCTCTTTTGTAACCTGTTTGGCTTGTTCCTGGAACAAATTCTTGTCCATTTTACAACACAGCTTCTCAACCTATTGTGTCTTCTGTTACTTCACTTTTGCCCACTTCTCTATCTTTGGTCACAGCATAGTTCAGTCAAGGTGATGAGTTATGATAAGCCTGTTAAAGGAGTGGCTCAGTCAGGGATGGAAAAACACTAACGTAGAACAGGCCTGGGCAGACTTTTTGTCTGTATGGATTTATGTAAAAGCCTGTCCAACTGTCTACATATTTCCATATTTAATTCATTTTTTATTGAAACAGTACATTGTTTCAATAACCTATATAAAGATAGACAGGAGGTGGAAACAGTATAATTGAACATGTAAGGATATGATTCAATGTAACAACATTGCACTCTCTAGTAATCTGTAGTTTGTGCTCTCGTGTTGGGCTGCATTATGTTACATCAGGCTTATCAACAACTGATGATCGTCAAATATTTTCATACTGCTCAAAGCACAATGGGATATGTTTGTAGTCTCTCCCAGCTCTAATATATGCATGTGTTATCAGTGGGGTGCTCTTAGTGTGTACTTGTTTATCCATAGAGAAGTATCCTACATACCCAATTTCCCTTCGGGGATTAATAAGCAGTTTGTACACCTTTTAATGTCAAACTTTCATCTGATCTCAAAAGTTATGTTAGGGTGTGTTGTGTTTAGTTTTTTTCATTCATTTTCAATTTTGATTCTCCATGAGGAAATGTGTGTAAAAAAACAAACAAACTCCCTATCTTTGATCATATCATGTGTTTGCAGAACTCTCAAGGCCAAAAGGGATGCTTACGTTAGTCACCTAAACCGCATTTATCGCAGCAATCTTGATAAAGTAAGTTCACATTTCTATTTATTTTTTCAGTGTGTCTCAGTGTTATGCCATTATAAATGTGTATACATCTACACTAGTTAGCGTAATGTCTGTAAAACCTTTTCTAAGCATCTTCAGAAGAATTATTTGACTTGTTTAGACAAGTTATTTAAAGAAAAATAATGACATCTGCTTCTTTTCAGGCTAAAATCCAAACTATTCAAGGTCATGCCAGGTTTACAAATGATCCTGAACCTACTGTAGAGGTCAATGGAAGGAAGTATACAGCGCCTCACATCCTCATCTCCACTGGAGGGCAGCCTTCTGTTCTGAGTGAAACTGAAGTTCCAGGTAAGACCGGCTGTACTTAGGTTGTACTTGGAAATGGTAATCATCTTTATATTTAGCACTGTTGTGTTTCATTACTTTTACAAGTGTGCAAAATATTGTGTTTATTGATTATTTCAGGGGCGAGTCTGGGCATTAACAGCGATGGCTTTTTTGAACTTGAAAGTCTGCCAAAGTAAGCTCTTTATATAATCTCTTTAGCGTTTACACCATGTTTGAAAGTTCGTCCCTATACTTAAAAGTTTTCCCAACAGGCGCAGCGTGATTGTGGGTGCAGGTTATATTGCAGTGGAGATGGCAGGCATCCTTTCCACCCTCGGGTCCAAAACATCCCTCATTATTCGACAGACAGGAGTGAGAATCACAACATAAATACAAAATCATGATTGTCAAAATTGTGCAGCCAAGCAGTTAATTTTATATATCCCCATCTACTGTCACATGTTCTCTGTAGGTTTTGAGGAACTTCGACGCCTTCATAAGCGCAAACTGCACCAAAGAACTGCAGAACTCTGGTATAGACCTGTGGAAGAATACTCAGGTGAAGTCTGTGTGTAAAACGGACAGAGGACTAGAGGTGACGCTTGTCACCAAAGACCCCGAGAAGAAGAACGACGAAGAGAAGATCAGAACCATCCAGGAAGTGGACTGTCTCCTGTGGGCCATCGGCAGGCAGCCTAACACTTCCGGACTGAACATCGGCGAGATGGTAACAGTCTGCTGTGCTCATGAAAGCTTTTCTTATGATATTTACTGTTTGCAGGATGCTGAAGTGAAATAGGCAGATGTTTCTCTCTTTTTCTTGATTTTGCAGCTGGAGAGAGTGCCAAACACATCAACAACATCCATCAGTAAAATAGTAACAGTGCATTTAAGACAGATGACTACAGCTTATCTCCACTGTCTGTCTGCAAAGGGAATTAATTAGTGTTTGGCTCTGTTTACTGTCCCCGGTGTCACCCTCATCCTGGCTCCTCCTCGTAGATTACAGCAGCACCACAGACAATTTGGAAGTTTTTTTTCTTAAACACACAATTCATTCAGATCGAATGTAGTTTTGTGAAAGAACTAAATCCATTAACGTACTATTGGACAAAGGATTTATAATGGAACACCTTTATGTAAAAAAAAAAAAAAAAAAATAAAGCAGGCATGGGGTCATCTTAAGGCCCTGATTAGGGATAATCTGGGGAACAAGACTAGACGACGGTCACATACCTCTTTGTTATGTAGTTTGTTAGAGGTGAAATGCTTGCACATGTTGAATACTTTTTAACTCAAGGTTATCAGGCAAAATAATAAAATATTAAAGGAGCAAGGTACTTCAGCATAGTTTAGGGAAGCTTGTCAGATGGTCCATTGAAAAGAAATGAAGTTAACTAATTAATACCACACATTGTGGCTTCTCAACCACTAACTTTTTTTTCCCGAAAGTATCCCACTAAAAGAAGTATGTAGGAAAAGGGAGGGGATCTGTCTCATTTTCCAGCCATTTTGACAGGAAACGGTAGAGAAAACACAGGTGATAGTGTAGCAGAGTCTTTCCAACATGCACAATAGCAGCACCCTGACTCTGTTTAACCTGAATGTTTTTTTTCAAAGGGTTTGCAGCACTTTAACTCTGGTTGCCCCTGCTCTGTGCATTCTGATACACATTACATTTCAGACTCCGAGCATCCAAAGCATGATGAGTCATTGTTGTAGACGGAAGCAAAAACTTTTCTGCTCAGTTGCTCGCTCCTTATTTGAAGTGTCTGAGCAGTGGACACTGTCAGCAGCTCAACAGCTTGTGATTAGTGAACATACAGTATCTTTCCTCAAACGATCGTTGTGCATCCCAGCAGAGCTTTAAAGCTTATCAAAGCGATTCAGATATTTCTAAGGAAACGTGATGTTTTAAGCAAATTGATATTAACTGTATAACGTTTTTTTCTCTCTCTTTGCAGAATGTGGATACAGATGAAAGAGGCCATATTATTGTGGATGAGTTTCAGAACACCAGCCGAGCAGGGATCTACGCTGTAGGAGACGTTTGTGGCAAAGCTCTTCTCACACCTGGTACAAAGTTGACCTAATGACTCAAATCATTTTACTGATGTTGGTTAAAAACTATATTGTCATGTTTATATTCAAACTTAACCAGTATGGGTGTTTGAAGGCTGATGGGCTGAAGTTTTCTAGATTAAACGCTTCAGTAGCATTTATCCATGTCTCTACGTTGGGTTTTTATGACAAAAGTGTATTTTGATATTGGTAGGGTCCAACTTACTCAAGTCTGATGCAGAAACTTGAATCCACTGGTGCACATATACTGAGGATGGACTTTACAGTGCAGGAGGGGGCATCTTGTGTCCAGCAGGAAAACTTTAGAAATTAACCAAATTAAAATATTCATAGATTATAGGATTTTAAATGAGGTAGAAGGAGTTATTTAGTGTCTATTAGAGGCAAGATCTGTGTTGTGTGTGTAAACACTTCCAAACGGCTGCACTGAAATTGTCAGCAAATTCAGGAAAAACATGTTTTTGTCAGGTTGCTGTTGTGCTCAGTCTCAGTTAGGCGGTATGGAACTTAATAAACTAAATGCAAATACACAACAAAGCAGCTGTGGCTCAGGGCCATAAAAACATGGTGACCTGGTTGAAGTTCCAAAAAAACCTCCAAACCCTGATTTGACTGCAAATCTCTCCTTTAAAAAACACTAAAAATGTCTATATCTGTACTGGTTTTATTAAAGCACTAAATCATTGATAAAAATATGTCATTTACCTCCACAATACTTAGGTGCAGCCATCTGTTACACATAATATCTGTAGTTACGGTTTACAACAGCCAAATAAGATATTTGCTGTTTTAAGAGATAATCTTTCATGAACACATTAGTCAAATAATAAAGTTGTTCTTTATACTACAGACGTTTAGAGCTCTTCAGACTTTTTTTCCCTTCTCCATGCACCGTAAGGAAGTAGGTGAAATCCCTACTCTCTCTACATTACGAATTACTGCAACAGCGGTGCTTTGTACTTATTATTCTGGTTTTAGAATAAAGCGTTTTATCCCAGTATGTTTTCTTAGGACTTTACTGTTATTGAGAGTCTGATGTTATGTTGCATGTTGGGACAGTTGCCATTGCTGCAGGCAGGAAGCTGGCACACAGACTGTTTGAAGGCAAGAAGGACTCCAAGTTGGACTACTCTACCATCCCCACAGTGGTGTTCAGCCACCCACCTATCGGGACTGTGGGCCTCACAGAAGGTGAGTGGTAGCTTCATAATCAACGTTAAACTTTCCCGTTGTCCAGTGTTGCCTCATAGATAGAATCGAAATCATGACACTCTAAATCCTGTAACTTACTCTGAAGGAAAGTGTCAGCTAAACCAGGTTTTGCTCAGTAGGACAAGAGTTCAAATGCTTAACCTTCATGTGTTTGTCACAGAGGAGGCCATTAAATCTAGAGGAAAGGAGAATGTGAAGATCTACAAGACTTCTTTCACTCCAATGTATCACGCCATCACGAGCAGGAAGAGTCAGTGCATCATGAAGCTGGTGTGTGTGGGCAAGGAGGAGAAGGTAGGAGTCATCTGTTCTCCAGATTACAGCTATTTACAGTTCATGAAGAAATGAGTTGTTTGACTTCCTTAAGAATTTTATTTAAATCATTTTAATGTATTGTAATGGTATTTATTAATATTAATTAAAATGACCAACTATTACTGTCATTGTTTCTTAAGGTAAACATCACTTAGACTTATATGAAAAGGAAAACCTGCTTAAAAACTTAAAGGTGGTACTTGAATTGATCAAAGGATGAATCCTCTCTTAAAAAGAGAAACACCTTTATCTTTTGTTAGGATGAGGTTAAAAAATCTGATTCCAGGCACTCAAGTGCTATAAGATGGCTACATATCTGCTAATGCATTATGAAAACACACCTGCTCTATCAATCCTCATCAATGACACCATGAACCCAAGATAATTGGTCTAATTGAACCCAGTGCCTCTGTGCTACTTTAGACTCAATGTCAAATTCTGTGCATTAATGACATACACATAAAAATGACATAATAACAGGCATTTAGTTTAATTGTGGTGCTTAGTTTTTGGTGTTCAGTATACTTTTGTCTTTTCCTAAGCAGCTAGGCGTAGACAAAATGGAGTTTGAAATAAGACATCACCAGCAAATATTGGAACCAAAATACAAAAGCTTCAGTCCATTTCCCACCGAATACTGTAATTAGTACTCGAGCAGAGAAATCCATATTATGGTCACAATACACAAAGAGAAGCCTGACATGCCCAGAATGCAGCATACCCACACAATGCATCAGATTTTGAGTATGGGGTGTGTCTTTTCACCTTTCTTAACCAGGATTATCTCTCCTACTCTTACTATGTTGAAATCACAGTTGTTATTTTCCATCTGTACATGCTTTGTAAACCACGTTCACATCCAGTCTCTGAAGGTTCTTGGCTGTCATTCAGGTAGTCATTCATTGAGGTACAAAAGGCTGAATTGTCTCTTTTCCGCAGGTGGTGGGCCTGCACATGCAGGGTCTGGGATGTGATGAGATGCTGCAGGGTTTCGCGGTGGCCATCAAAATGGGTGCGACCAAAGCAGACTTTGACAAGACTATTGCCATCCACCCCACCTCATCTGAGGAGTTTGTCACGATGCGTTAATGCATACACAAACCCGCCCCCCTACCTTGCTTCCCTATACAATCAGAAACCCAGACCAGCATACCAGGACAGAGTCACTCCTCCGTACTACTCACGCATCAGCTTGACGACTTGCTTTCTAAAACTACATGCTTCCATTTTCTCTCATATAAGTGACCTTGTTTGTGCGCAGTGTTTTAATTTTTACTCCTTTTTACCTAAATGGACCAAGACCGAGTTATGGCCTTTCTCAAACTGTACTGTGGGTCTTGATTATTATTGATTGAATATTCCGGATTCCATTTTAATGATTGTGAAATGGAAGTGATGGATCTGCAGGTATTCTTGTCAAGTAATCACACGGGAAGTCAAAAGACCTCTCTCCTAGTGTATGTGTTTGATTTGTGAGTCATTCACTGCTGCTCCTTAAGGTACCTATTTACTACCAATGCAAGGTCATAACATATCTACTGTACTGTTCTAAAGATTCAATAAACCTGCAGGTTTTTTCTTAAGTGGCGTGATACCTTTTTTCTTCCTTCTGTGACTGTGTTGTAACTCTGTTTTCCGCACTGGTGCACTTCCCCATATTCGCTCACAATTGACGTGTTGGGCAATGAATGAAGTACTTCTTATATTTAGACAGAGGGAGCTGTATTCCTGCTCATACCTACAGTAAATAGGTCTGCCCAGTCAAAATGTGCGATAACAACTTTGCATTTAAGATAGCTCTTGGCAGATTGCATCAATGGTGAGCAGTGATGAAACTGAACAATGTTTCTTTTCAGCAAACTGCTTATCACAATACATTTTAGAAGGTAATATTGTACTTTGAACTCCATTACATTTATTTTCCAACTAAATTTCATAATTATGCATACAAAACATTAACTGTTCATAAAATAACAGATAATAAACAAATAATAGACCAACATGAAGTAAAATGATGAAAATGTACTCTATGCCAACCATTTATACAATCATGTAGTTTAGATGTTAATAAATCATTAACAGTTACAATGTACAAGTAGTATTTTTTTTACAATGTGGATTTTGCTTCTAGACTTAATGCAGGACTCATGTAATGGATTGTTTTTATGTTGTGGTATTACCCCTTTCCAAGTAAACAATGCGTGTCGTTTAACAAATATTATAGTTTTTAGAACGTTTAAAATAAAATGATGTACTCTCTTCCTGTGGCCCCAGAATAACCTCTCTTCGTAACTGTGTGTGATGTAGTTTGATGTTAACAGGAGCCTAAAGAAGACATGAACATAACGTGACCTTGTTTGCACAGCGGTTTAACAAATATCGCGATACCCGTTGTCATAACACCGCCACTGTCACACTCTCGCGAGAAGACTCACCTGCGTGTCACGGGTCACGTGTGCGCCGTACGTCACGTCCGCAGCGGCGTTCTCGTCAGTTTGGTCATAGATTCTCAAAATGGACACATATTATGCAGAAGGAACATCTCCGTAGAAAGGTATTGGCTTTCTGAAACTACTGTCTGTACACACTACACAGCCGCACTTGTTCATTAGTATCATTTAATGTTACACAGCACTTGTTACGGCGGATAACGACGTTAGCTCACTGCTAGCTGGCTAACTAGCTCGGTTAGCCAAGTTTGTGGCTCCACAGTGACCGGGCTCGGTGGTCCGGGGCTATTGGTTGGCCAGCTCATTGATTATCAGTGACAGCTCTGCCACTTTCACACAAATATCAGCTGTGCGAAACATTTCAGCTTTGTTTGTAGCCATGCTAACGTTACTGCTTGATAAAAACAGTGAGAAGAGGCGGTGTCTTGGCGTTAATCTGTTTGAATTGGGTTACATTGACAAGCTGACTGCTAAACGTAACAGTGACTGGGCTGTCTGACTCCGCACAGCAAGTTCCTGCCTCCAGTACCGAGCCCCGCTGCAGCGACGATGTTCCCCAGCCTGGCCCACAGACCATGGCATGTGTTCTGCAGGGTGTCGTTGCAGCACAGGTCCCCCCTGTCACAGCGGTGCCCGAGGTTCCCCCAGCTGTGCTACGGTGAGCACTGTTATTATTGTTATTATTGTTGTTATTCGACGTTAGCTGCAGCTCTTGTGCTTTCTGTTGAGCAGCAGAGCTGTGTTATGAAGCCGTGTGACAGAAGGAATAAGCTATTGTCACACATTGTGTTGCACAGGGTCACAGAGTGGAGGCATACACAGCCTGTGGTTCAGCCTCCCGGACTGCCGTGTTGCCTCTCTAGGGCTGGGCAAGGTGCAGTACTACTCTACCTCTGGTGACAGTAAAGATGGTCCTCCAAAATCCGCATCAGCTGAGGCCCCAACAGCAGAAGGGGTCTTGTCTGCTGCTGCGAAAGCCGCCCCACCTTTATCAGGTGACAAACGTGTGTTTGTGTCTTGGCATTTTGTGTGGCACTGTGTTGTGTACATGGATGTTTATGATGTTCCTCTTTGTCTGTTGTCTTGTAACATGTCCTGTCACCACAAGAACTGGGAAATACTTCTGGTAAGTTGAGATGTTGAGGAAAATTCCTTCTCCCAGAGGAATGTTGCTTTTGTTACTTCTCTGACTAAATACAATATGTGGTCTCATAGGGTCCATACCTAAGGGGCTTACTAAAGCTGAGACTATTCAAGTCAAAGGTAATAAAAAACATTTGTGCATGCTTCACTTGAAACAGGTTTTTTTACTATCTTTAGACTGTGTGGTTTTGAATCATAATTTGTTGTCATGTGCAGTTCGGGCAGTCCTGAAGAAAAGGGAATATGGAGCCAAGTACACTCAGAACAACTTTATCACTGCAGTCAGAGCCATGAACGAGTTCTGCCTCAAACCAAGGTAACTTCTGCTCCCCAAACTAACTGTTCTGCTTCATTTATTTAATATATAGAGCAACACCAAACTGTATCTCATCATTGCGAAGTTCATTTAATGGTACTGAATGTGTATCTGTCCGTCCGTCTAGAACCACAACACAAATTCCTTTCAGTTAATAAGTAAACATGCTGATGTGATTAGCTGATCTAAGACTGCTTAACATTGTTTTACACAGGTCTTCCTAAATGTTACCCCCTTCCCTCATGTGTCCACAGTGATCTGGAACAGCTTCGCAAGATCAGAAGACGCAGCCCCCACGACGACACAGAGGCGTTCACTGTCTTTTTGCGGTCAGACGTAGAAGCCAAGTTAGTCCCTTTTGCTGTACACTTCACGAGATGTTTAGTGTACACGACGATAGTTCTTTAACAAAACATTGCTCAAGCCACCAGTTTTCATTGAGATGTTCTCTAACTTTTGTTGATTTATTTATTCCTCTCTCTGACTTCTAGAGCAATAGACGTATGGGGAAGCCACGAAGCTCTAGCCCGAGAGAGAAATCTCAGGAAAGAGGTGGAGAGAGAGTACCAAGAGAGTAGGTTTATATTTTGTTGTGTTTGTTTCGTTGTGAACATGTAATAATACTTAAGATTTTGTCTTAAAGCACATGTTCAACCTTTTGGGAAATGGCATTTTTTCACTTTCTGGCGGAGAGTTTGATGAGAAGATTGATACCACTTTAATATTTGTCTTTTAAATATAAAGCTACAGCTGCCAGCCAGGTAGCTTAGCTTTGCACCAAGACTTTAAACTGGGGAAACAGCTTGCCAGACTGTCAAATGTTAACAAAATGCACCTCTAAAGTTCACACATGTTGCTGTTTTTTGGCTCTGAGCAGTTGCCAGGCAATAGTCTGACCGTAAAACAGAATGGTTATTTATTTATTTATTTATTTATTTATTTATTCATTCAATTTGTTTTACACTTTTTAAAATACTTTTTGTATGAATTAAACAAATGAGATGTAATGTTAATTAATGAGCTAGTAATGTTAATCTGTTTCCCTTCATCTAACTCTCCACAAGAAAGCAAATGTCACATTCAATACATCAAGTCACATTTTACCAGTAGTAGAGACTATTAATATTAATTAGCTTAGTTAGTTAATATTTCTATAACTTGGTATATATCTGATTGTTTCACAGCTGTCGTACAGTGTTCGGTTTGTGAACTGTTGACATATCTTTTTATTTGTATCTCCTGTTTTTTTTCACCTCCAGGTACTTTTCGGAATCAACAATTGTTGAAGGAATACAAACACTTTTGGGGAAACACTAAGGTGAGCACTTAAATCATGTGATCAGTTCTCCAAATCATGTGTTCTTTGTGAAAAAGGACGTAATAATCACCATACCCAATTCACGTGACCTTTGTCCCTGTTAGAGTTCACTGCATCTATATGACAATGTCATCCGTTGTCATTCATGCAGTGCTGTGTTTACTGTAGGGTGAGGATGTTATTTCAATGACTGTGCTGTACTGCTGTGCACTACTCTGGTATGTCATGGTATATTCTATACTGTGCTGGATTGTTTGGCCAGAGTATCCTCACAGTATGCGTCATGAGCCATTGACAACAAAAAGATTCTCAACCATGTGTCTCTATTTTACCATGAAGATAACCAGAGTGTTTTTTAAATGCTGATATTGCTGACACTGTACACTATTCATAGTCCTTATTCTATGTGCCTCACAATCACACACTTCTTTTTCTTTGTTTCACGAAGCCTCGATCAGGCAAGAGGACGACATTTCTACAAGGACCGGGGAAGGTGGTCATGGTCGCTATTTGCATGTACGTTTTCACTCTTGTCTTCTTTCTGAGCGCTGTGAAGTGTTTCTGCACTCAGTAACTCTACTGAACTGTTGTGCACACAGTGGGAGGCATTGGATTAGAGAGGAATGAAGAGTCTGTTCTCAGCAGGGTTTACCACATACAGTGTGTGGGATTGAAGTGTCAGTGTAACATTTGGGGGAACTGAACTGAACTGAACTGGATAAACCTGTAGTCCAGAACAGATGCTGACTACGTGTAGACCTACTATCACTTGAGGTCTTCTTTTCTGAAGAAATCCACTGAACTGTAGACTTTTGACACTCACCAGTATAAATCTAAAATATGTGACATTTTGTATTGCATGGGACCTTGTCTCACATGAGGTCCTTTGGCCTATTGGATTAGGATGATTGTGTTAGAAGACATGTGCAGTCACATGAACAGCAAAATGTTTCCGGCACAGAGTATACACATAGACTCACAACACTCAATTGGTTAAGTGCTCAGCACGGGAGAGGTCCAGTCTGGTCTAAAGTCTATGATTCAGGAGCATAAAAGCAGAAAAGGTTTTACATTTTTCCCTGTTAATCTACCAATCTACAGTATAGACAGTTCTGGAATAACTAAATCTTATCAGACAGCGATCCCCAAGACTACATCTTAAAGAAATACAGGTCCACAGCCTGATATGTATCTGGCTACTGTTTACCATTCAATTCTGTTTTAGATGCTCAACTTTTTCATTGCCCTACAATTGCTTCATTTACCTGTTTTGTTTCTCCTCAGCAATGGGCTGAATTTCATCTTCAAGCTCCTGGCTTGGGTCTACACTGGATCGGCTAGCATGTTCTCCGAGGCCATCCACTCTCTGGCTGACACCTGCAACCAGGCTCTGCTCGCCCTGGGGATCAGCCAATCTGTCCGCAACCCTGACGCTGGGCACCCGTAAGCACCACACTTTACTATACTGTTAAAGAAAGTAGACGAAGAAGAATAAGAGAACGTGAGCAGCCACCAAAGGAAAAATGGGTCATTATAACACCAAAGAGTAGAGTTTGCATCTTGCAGAGCAGCACGTTTAGTTTACGTACTGTAACTAATAATAATAAAATCAGTTAAAATACATAAACCATGTACTATCTGAGGCTTTAAAAAGTCGTAACAGCTGAAGTTAGAGGTGTCACAAGAACCGATACTTCGGTACCAAGTCAAATACCAAAATTCTAAAAACCTGAAGTACTTGTTTTTCCACAGTACCAAAGGTACCAAGGATGCAATTCTCCCAGATGTGATGGCACAGCATATACGCCTACACATATTCTGGTCAGCTGTACGGGTGATTAACTCGCGAAACTTTCGTGCTTGATTTTAACATTTTTATCATGGTATCAAATTGGTGTTGAGAATCGTGGAATTTCACTGGTATTGGTATCAACTACTACATTTCTGGTATTGTGACATCCCTAGCTGAAATACAACTGTTTTTCATGATGGCTGTTAAAAGAAGTCTACAGTTTACAGATTTAGATCTTTGCTAAAGTAACCATTAATCCTTTACAAACAACATTTGTGCGGACGTTAGATGTGTGTGTCCTTTACAGAATAAGTGTTGTAGGATAAGAACCGGTCCTGGTTTTGTTAAAACACAATCAGCATTTATGGGAGATACTGAAAGAAAAGCTGTGTCATTAAAATCTAACTCTAATCCAGACGTAGGCTAACAGCGAATGATGGAAATCTTTATAGCTATCATTGCTATTGGAAAAATTCAAGAATTGATTGCTGAAGCTAGCCAGCTAAATTATAGCTGGTTCCCAGGGCGTTTCAATGGATAGGCTGACATTCATTGAGGGAACATTCAAGTTCCCCTCCACTCTTTACCTTACAGTGAAGCAGGAGACATTTTGTGTCCAGTAGGAAAACTTTACAAATGAACAAAATTTGAATATTCATAGATTCTGAAATTGTGGAAAAAACATGTACCTACATAAAAACTTATCAGACACACATTATCGTTCCAAGCAGACTATTTCTAAATGTTGTAATACGTGTCTGGTGGGGAACTTTAATGACTGTCGCGTTATCTGGGTAAAACATAGTCACTGACTGTCATTTAAACTCTGCAGGGCAATGTTTGAATACTAGTGTGAAGTTGATCAGATGAACGGTTGTTGAGAAGATCAAAACACTGACTCCTTCCATCGTAGTCACATGACAGCTGTAATAGAGGCCCTATGTCTTTTTCAGATATGGCTTCTCCAACATGCGCTACATTGCGTCCCTCATCAGTGGGGTTGGCATTTTTATGATGGGAGCAGGCCTCTCCTGGTACCACGGCATCATGGGATTGCTGCACCCAGAACCCATGGAATCTTTGTTATGGGTGAGTGTCTGTGTTGACTCCTGTCTGTAATGCAACGTACATAAAGGGTGATAATAATCCAACACGTCACGTTTCTGCCTTTTAGGCTTACTGTATTTTGGCGGGCTCTCTGGTGTCTGAAGGAGGTAGGTTATAAAAATGGAAGCTCTCGATCATTAATGCCATTTTGACGTTTTGTGCTGAAACATCTCCTTTCTGTTTTCCTTCCTCAGCCACGTTGCTAGTTGCCGTCAATGAGATAAAGAAGAGCTCCCGCAAGCACGGAATTTCTTTTTATGAATATGGTCTGTTCAACTGAAATATCTATGTGATTAATTGGTGTGAATTCTTTGTGCCTTGGATGCCATTTACACCTGGCATTACAACTAATCTGGAGTAATCAGATCTTATCTACATAAAACGGCAGGTAAAATGTCCCCAAGATGCAGGAGTGGGATTTATTTCTGAATCAACTTAGATTAGATTGAGATTTAATGAGCTGAAATCAACTACAACTGTGTTTTGGATTAAATTAAAAATTACAAAGTGTGATTAGAAATGTTTCTCTAAGCCACATGTAGTGCGAAACGAATCCAGGTGTTTCTGCCATTGCACACAGACAGTGCCATTGAGGTTGATTTGCACATTGTGAAGGAAAGTAGGACACCAAATACATATTTCTACAACAAATTTAAATGATTTGTGGACAGCTTAAAAATGCTGGTGCTAAATGTGCTCTTGCCTTGTTTGTGTGTGCAGTAATGCAGAGTCGAGACCCCAGCACTAATGTCGTGCTGCTGGAGGATGCTGCTGCTGTATTAGGGGTCACCATGGCTGCTTGTTGCATGGGGCTCACCTCACTTACAGGTAAACACATGCGCAGTTTCATATCTATTGTGATTGTAAAGTCATGCAATTATTGAGCTCAGATTTTTATTGCTTTATATTATCTTCTCTTGTGTGTACTATGATTTCTTCTTATTCTATTAATATGCCAAATGACTCTCAGGATAATCTTTCTTCTGTTTGCGTACTTTGGTCTCTAATTTCTAATGTTGGCAGTGACCCAGTTTCCTAAAGTTTCTCTTTCAACTGTTTCCCCTTCGTCCCTCCCCGCCTGGGTTGTGTCAGGTAACCCGCACTTTGACAGTTTGGGTTCTCTTGGCGTGGGCACGTTGCTGGGCACCGTCTCAGCCTTCCTCATCTACACTAACACAGAGGCCCTGCTGGGACGCTCCATACAGCCTGAACGTGTACAGAAGCTGACAGAGTTCCTGGAGAACGACCCTGCTGTAAGGTCAGCGAATGAGACGCACGCTGGTGTACGC